TTTGTCCAGGAAGGAAAACATAGTCTGACTTGATGGAGTGTGCAGTGCAAGCAGGATGTGCTGAGAAATCAAGCGGGGGAGGGAAATTGAGGACAGACCTCTGGATGACCTTGAATACCCCATGAAAGCTTTTGGAAGGCAATGGGAAACTGTTAAGTTTTTGGAGCAGGGAATTGATATGATCTAAGCTGTAATTTAGGAAGATTATCTGGCAGCAGTACATGAGTTAGATTGGAAAGAGAAAAAAAGAAGACAAGGAAATAAGAAGGAACCCAATTCAACAACCAGGGCAGAGGTATAAGGATCTGAACTTCAACAGAGTTGGTGAAAATTGAAAGGCAAGGATGGATAGGAGATATTTCAGAGACAACAGTTAAACCTGCTTTTAAAAAAAATTATTAATTTGCTCTTGCTTTTCTTCTGTTGGGAAATTCTTCATGGGCACTGTGGCTTTAACTGGCTGATGTAGGGAGACTGGAGGCCAAGTAAATCATGTTGATTTGTAGCTTATATATTTTTTAAAAGCCAACTAGTTAATTAGCCTTAGAACATTCTGATCTTGGTACTAATGCCTGATGTGCTCATGTTTTCTAACTTTATATTTCGTTTCAGTTGGTTTTTTAAATGTGTAGTTGCTATATACCATTGACTACAGACTTCAAAAAGAATTTAATTATGCTTTACTTTTCATTATCTCATCATTCTTGTGAACCAAAGTTATTTAAACATAAATAAGAGACAAGCTCATAGCTAACATCATACTCAGTAGTAAACACCTAAAAGCTCTTCTTCTAAGATCAGGAATAAGACAAGGATGCCCACCTTGCCACTTTTACTCAACATAGTATTGGAAGTCCTAGCTAGAGCAATTAGGCAAGAAAAAGAAATAAAAGGCATTCAAACTGGAAAGGAAGAAGTACAAACCATCACTATTTGCAGATGACGTGATACTATATAGAGAAAACCCTAGAGACCCCATCAGAAAACTGTTAGAACTAATAAACAAATTTAGTAAATTTACAGGACACAAACTCAATGCACAAAGGTCTGTGGCATTTCTCTACATCAACAATGAGCTATCAGAAAAACAAATTAAGAAAATAGTCCCATTTACAAAAGAATAAAATACCTAGGAATAAATGTAATCAAGGAGGTGAAATACATCCTTATAAAATAAGTTGGCAAATCTATTGTTTAACTACAATAGTGTCTACATCACTAGTAACACTGACCTCAGTCTCTCCCATATTCCCAAACTACCCATCATTCACAACATGGTCAGACAAATGTTTCTCCTTAATATTTAATCACTGCTTCAAATTTATGTGGTTGTTCTTTAATGCCTGCCCTAAAAAACTATAAATTTTCTTCTTGACATTCAAGACCTCCAAGACCTGGTCCCATTCACCTCTGCAGTTTTACTTTCAATGACCTCTAACACTAAATATTCTTCCACTCCAAACTAACTGATTTCTTTATTATACCCTACTCTCAACATGCATATTTGCATCTCAGTGTTTTGCTTTCCAGGCTTTTCCTGGCTAGAATTCCCTCCCTTGACATTTTCCCTTATTTGAATTCCTACTTGTCCTTTAAGGCTAAGATTCTACCTTCTCTATTATCTTCTCTCCCAAATACATCAGAGAAAGTTGATCTCTGCATTTGCTAAAGTTTTGGAGTTTACATCATATAACTTGGCATTTAGTTATCTGCTTTATTTTTGTATATGCTGGCTGTGATTCCATTCCAAGCAGACTTTCACTTTCTGGAGAACAGGTTAACTCTATCATGTACTTCTCCAGATCCCCTCTACTTTACTCTCCGCTTTAGTTATAATTATTTTGGTTCCAAGTGACAGAACCCCAATTCAAATTAGCGAAACAAAAAACAGATTATTTTACCTAATGTAAATAAAGAATCTATGGGTAGAGTAGGATTCAGAAGCACGTTTGAACCTGGGTGATTAAACAACATCATCACAAATAGGTCTCTCACCATCTCTTGACCCTGCTTTTCTCTCAGAGAATGAATTCAGGCAGATTCTTCCTGAATATTAACAAAAGTGGCCAGTAAAAACTTGGAACTTACATCTGAACAGCTTAGTAAACTCAGCAGAAAGAATGCATATTATTCTCCATTGTTCTAGAAAAAGACCCAAGGCTGACTCTCATTGGAAAGAGTCACATAGTCACAGCTGAACCTGTCACAGCAACTCTTATTAATTAGGTCTGGGTCACATCAAGCCTTGAACAGGGGAGATGGTCTCCTGTGGACAGAGACCATGCCTACGGAGAATGGCACTGGGGTGCTTTTCCCATAGGAAAATCCAGACATTGTTACCTGAAGAAGGGGAAATGATTCTGGGCAGGCAAAAATAGCCAGTGTCTGCCATACACATCCCATCTCCCATGTCATTTAGAACATTATAAAAATCTCTCTCAAATACTCAAATAAGACCAAATTTCTTGAGCTGCCAAATTGTATTTTATTTTTGACGTACTGTGGTAGAGATGCGGATGGGCATCCAGGAGAGTGGAGAGTTGTCCTTTCATTCTCATTATGTAAACATTGGAACAAGGCAAGCATAATTTGCGATAAAGTAATATCGCCAAATGAATCATCTTCTGTCTTTGATTATGGCAGATTTGAAAGGGGCTGTTAACGCACTATAAAGCATCTTAATTAAATCGAGCACTTTGTTCTTGTTTCCTGTGCTCTTTGTTAAACACTGATCAACCTCAAGAATGCAGACATTCATATGGTAGAGAATTCCAAATAGAAAACAAATTTAGTGATAAGTCATAATGACCTAGTTATAAAAACTGACAATATTTTAGCTTTAATATTTACTCACCATTATAGAAGCAAACACTATTTTATTTCTATTCTCTTCAGATGTTGCCAGAATCCCTGTCCCCACTCTCTCCTCAGGAAATTAGCAGAAATAAGATGGATTTTAAAAGAGAATAAACAGAAAGTTTAATGAAAGCTTTTTGCAGAACCTGAGTTTGGGAAGGGGAACAGGGAAATAAAGGTTTGGGGAAAGGGGGGAGGATTCTTTAGCCCTCCATATCAAAGAGAAACCAATACTTTAAACCCAGAGCCTGGAATTCTCTTGGGACTCTAGACAGACCAGCATCTGCCACCGTAATTACAAAAGGTGTCATTTGACCGACCTCAAGCTACAATGTTAGACTAGTGGTGTGAAACAAAACAAAATTTTACTTTCTTAACATCCTTTAAATAGGTGTTACTTCCCTTAATAGCACTGTTGTGTTTTGTGGGAGGAAGAAGGGAAACCTAAATCCTCATTCAATAGCTTTAATAATGTTCCAACTATTATTTTTAAGCCTATATGTTTTTTCCTCTAAAGTCCTCTAACTTCTTAAAGGCCTATAGTTTTACGAGGATTTTTTTCCTTCTTACTTAGATGGAGTATTTTTTACTTGACTGTTATTAGAAACACCAGTTATTAGAAGTTCTTTAGATACTGCCTATAGAATGCATAATTTAAAATTCTAAATTTAAGTTGTCTTATAATCAGGACAAAATGAATTTCCCTTTAATTCGTGTGGCACCTAGTTTCCAAGTATGTTTTGCTTTGCTTGAGACTGACTATCACAGCTAATATAGTGAGGAAGAAAAGATATATTTGGTGAACAAACCTAAGTTTAATTTAAACATTTTCCCAGGGAGTAAAATAAGGGATAAAAAATTAAGTTATAGGTGTCTATAATTCTGGCCACAATTTAAATGGATAATATTTCAGTCTTCAGTGAAACTTCAATCTAATAACCAACATTTCTTAAATAAATAAAGCAAGCCTCCTGGAAAAAAACATAACTTAAGAGGAAAGTCCTGCAAATAAAATAATGAATTAACTATTGCTAATTACATATCTGTTTGGTAATAGCTACAGTCATAAACTGACCTGATCATTCATTGGCACGGCACCTCTTTGGGCCTAACACATGGCCGCCTTATCTCACATGTGCTCATCTGTCCTTTGGCATTTAGTCATGTTGGGGTCTTGAATTGCTACTCCTAAAACCTAAACTTTCATAGTTTTCCCTGGTAGTCTGAGTAGAGGACTAACAGCACTTGAGTCTTGTTAGACTCTTAAAGATCTACACGCTCTTCCATTTCACTCTACAAAAATCAAATGCTCTACCAGATTGCAGCTCTTATATCAATTATCATGGACACAGAATGTAGATAGTGGGTATGGACTTTTTTTTTATTACAAAAAAGGGTACTTAATTTCTCAGAGTAATTTTGAGAAATGCTCTGTATGTTTTGTTTGTTTTTGTATTTTAAAAGGCAAGCTAGTGAGTGCTTCCTAAACTTGTCCACGTAAGTCCTCCATGTTTCTTTTCTTTTTTTTTTTTTAAGATTTTATTTATTTATTTGAGAGAGCGAGATAGCAAGAGAGAGCACAAGCGGGGAGGAGAGGGAGAAGCAGGCTCCCTGCTCAGCAGGGACCCCCCCTGTGGGGCTGGATCCCAGGACCCTGGGATCATGACCTGAGCTGAAGGCAGACACTTAATTGACTAAGCCACTGAGGCACCCCGCATGCTTCTTTTTAAACTAGTTTATTGAAAGGGACAGAAAATGCCAAAGATTTGAAATCTCCCAAATACTTGAAGCTTGTGAGTTGTATTGTTTTGTTTTTTAAGATTTTTATTTATTTATTTATTCATCAGATAGAGAGAGCACAAATGAGGAGCAGCAGGCAGAGGGAGAAGCGGACTCCTCACTGAGCAAGGAGCCTGATGTGGGACTCGATTCCAGAACCCTGGGATCATGACCTGAGCCAAAGGTAGATGCCTAACCAACTGAGCCACCCAGGCATCCCAAAGCTTATAAGTTTTTTTTTTTTCACTGATGACAATTTATTATAATCTGTTGGCAGTACACAGATAAGATATTAATAAAACCAGAACTCTGCTTCCATAGCAGTGGGCAATGATATGTAGCTATGCTATGGGAAGTGTGTATGTTTAATCATCATCATCATGTTTTAGATGTTTGATCTTCTTGTGCCATTCAATTTCTTTCTGCAGACGTTCAATTTCCTTTATATGATGGGTGATTTCCTCTTCATGGTGTTTCTTCAAGGTTGCCAGTTGTTCTTTAGTGCGTGCTCGGAAGTATCGTTCCTCTTCAGCTTGCTCTCTCTTTCCGAAGGCCCCACCTGCCTCCCGGATCGAGCCCGCGCCGGAGTCTGACCGTTCGGAGCTGAAGCCTCGGGCTTGTATGGCCCTAACGCCCCACATGCCCAGCCGCACCCGGGCGGCCAACGCGGTGACAGCCGTTGTTGTTGTAGCAGGACTTCTCCCCCCAAACTTATAAGTTTTTCATGAGATTATCATGAAAATATTTGGGGGAAAAGGCATAAAAGAAAACAGGTTAATCGGGGCACCTGGGTGGCTCAGTCAGTTAAGTGACTGCCTTCAGCTCAGGTCATGATCTCAGGGTCCTAGAATCAAGCCCCGCATCAGGCTTCCTGCTTGGCGGGAGGCCTGCTTCCTCCTCTTCCACTCCCCCTGCTTGTGTTCCCTCTCTAGCTGTGTCTCTCTTTCTGTCAAATAAATAAATAAAATCTTAAAAAAAAATAGGTTAAAAACAAACTGGGTTAGTACATGGACTGTGACATCCTGGCTCTGTGACTTTAGGTAGTTACTTAACATGACTGATTTCAGTTCTCTCAACTGTAAAACAGGATAGTAATACCTTCCTCATAGGGTTGATACGAAGACTAAATAAGTTAGATGAGAAAACACAGAAAGTGCCCAATTTAGCAACTGACACAGAGAATATGTTCAATAAATGGTAACCAATATAATGAAAAACATATTAAAATAGGGAGGAAATATCTAAGGGAGGACTCCTATTTATAATGTAGACTACCATAATATGGACAGTTGTTCCCTATCTCCTCTATCCAATGATGGGGGAAACTTTTTGGAATAAAAATAAAAGCTTTTTTTTCCTTTATAGTTTTACACAACTACTAGAAAACTAATTAATTTAAATTTGGAGAAATAAAGCCTTCCATTTATTAACCATGATGCTTACATATTATTTTCAGATAGTTATATATGTGTTTAATGTCCCTTCTGTGTGCTAAACAGAGAATGAAGGAAGATATTGAGTCAAAAGACCTGGTGAAAAATAAGTAGAATCAGAAGATCCTGAGAGACAAAGGAAAATGGAAGATAGGGACACTTCATTCCAATCCCTTAAAATATGATTCTCAGTCTCTCTGTTATATCAGGCAATGAAATACAAATGTTATTTAGTTCCAAGCTGAAGGTTGATCTGCTAAATAAAGCTAAAAATAAATTTCCAGGAAAATTTAACAGATTGGTACCCTATAATATACTCAGTAAATTTTAGGGGAGCAATTACCCCTAAGGAAAGGAATAAAATGTTGCTGTTTCTATCTCAATCACTATAAAGCAGAGGCTTGTTAGATGTTTTCCAACAAAATGAATTGCAAAGAGGCTGAACTGTTTGATCAAAATAAGATGAAATTTTCAATTATTTGCAGAAGCTGCATTCACAGTATAACAAAAGCATTATTGCCACAAGAGAAATACTTTCAAGACTCAGTGCTCTTTCAGTAATACAAATAACCCCATTTTGGCAGTTCTGATCATTTAGAATCCAACCAAGAGAAGAACATTGTCAGTAACATCTGCTCTAATAGAAAGACAGCAATGTCGAATTTGCTTTCCTTGAAGCACTGATTTGGATGGTTATGTGATGTTCCTGGGATCACACAGTCTGTCATGGTTCTTTTCAGTATGTGAACTTTTTTAGATTAGTTTAAATTTGTAAGGAGTTTTTACCTGAGGTTGCTCCTTAAGGGCTCCATGTAGAATACATTTAAAATGGAATCGGTCTTTCTCCCCCACAGAGTTGAGGGCTCTTAGTGACTTAGCAGCTTGGGCAAAGAGAGCAGAAAGAAAGCTGCCTGTTGGTGACAGCGAGTAGCTTGGACCAGGGTGGTGGCAGAGGAGACAGAGAGTAGTAATAGATTAGAGATAACATTTTGGTGGCAGAACCAATAGGCTTTGTTAACGATTTGCATATAGAAGAGAGGAGAAAAGGAAAAAATCAAGAATGACCATCAAATTTTAGGTTAGAATAATTAGATGGGACTGGAGCCATTTACAAAGCTGGTAAACTGGGAGATTGGTTCGAGAAGAAAATAAAAGTTAATATAGGGAGGTCTGGGTGGCTCAGTCAGTT